AATGGAGAAACTGAATTCCTCTGATGGTGGGACATAGAGCACAACACCACAGGAGGTGTACTGCAGGGTTCAGAAAACACAGATGCATCAAAATCATACGATAGTCTGATGATTGGGATAGATCTGGAATTCTTAAGCAAAACAACGGCAAGAGTTATGAAAAGGTATTGAGTCAATCATCAGCTGTCAGCCACCGTCAGTTGCAAAATCAAACCAGGAAGGAATTCCAACACTTAACTCTGCTATCTTTCTTGATTATTTAGAAGCAGAACAAAGTCTAATGCGTTTCTAATTTCTATTCATAATAGATATTATGATGGGTATGTGGACGCATCAGTTTTCCAAGAAAATCATTCAGACCTGTTTCTATCTAAACCTTACCAAAAAAAGACTATTTTTTATTTTTTGGGGGGAAAAATCGAAATGTTTAATGGACTGCTTCTTGAACAGTGGAGCATGTTATTACTTAACGTAAGAATGTGGATGTAATTCAAATGATTACTATGATTTATTGTGATTAACTGTGACACAGTTTTAAGAATGTGTGTGTGTCATTCAGTTGTGCCTCAATTTTTGTACTAAATTTTATTTTCCATTTTAATTTGCACTTAAGCTCTGACCTTCAGTAAAGGCCACTAATGCAAAAATGTTACATTGCACTCTGATAGTGCACAACTAAAAGCACTGCCTCACACATGTACCAAAAATGACCAACAACCAAACTTCTTCATTAACCAACCCATAGTTTTTTTTTTTATAATTCTTCGGATCAGACACACATTAAATCACAATATAACGAATAAGTCGATGGCCATAAAGCTCCAAAAGGAAGAGAGCTTCACGGAGTAACCGCAATTGCTCACTGCCAGACTACATGATCAACTCCAGCTCCGAGAATTTGTTCATATGTGGCCTCCGTGAAAAACTGCTTAAGTGTTCGAGTGTCTCATGACTCAGAGCTATAACAGGAACTCCCAATTAAGATCATTGCCAAGTTATAATTACTATCCAACCTCATTAAACATCACTGAGCTGTGGTACTTGAAAGCATTTCAGATAAAACCTCTAAAAGCTCTTCTCAGAAGCTTGTTTCCAAATCAAAAGAATTGTGCTTTCAGTGCGCCGCCATTTCAAATCTTGAAGAATATGTGCAAAACATTTTATTGGCCTAACATTTGCAAAAAGTTCATAGTGTAACGAGCTGCATTGCACGACCCTTTAAAGAAAGTAGTTCTGCCAGTTTATGGGGAAATTCTCCTCGTTTATTTTGTAATTGATTGTATTGTACACTCTAAAAAATGTTGAGTTGTTTCAACCCATATTGGATCAAATATGGACAAACCCAACCATTGGTTTATATTTTTAAATAGAACTTTAAACCCAACGGTTGGGTTTGTCCATATTTGACCCAAACATGGGTTGAAACAACCCAGCATTTTTTTAGAGAGTACAATACAATCGATTACAAAATAAAGCTAATAAACAGAAGGTAAGAGTTGTTAGGCCTGGGCTCCCACATGCTGTGATGCTCATGTCACAACAAGTAGAGCTGCATGACTCGGGATAAACTGAGAATCAAGATTGTATTGTTTAAAATAGAGATTGTGATTCTGAATAGAACAAAATAGCATGTAATTTACAAGAGGCCCTGACAAAATGTAAGTTACTGCAGTCTATTTAAAAAATATTTAATTAATTTGAATATACACTCACCTAAAGGATTATTAGGAACACCTGTTAAATTTCTCATTAATGCAATTATCTAATCAACCAATCACATGGGAGTTGCTTCAATGCATTTAGGGGTGTGGTCCTGGTCAAGACAATCTCCTGAACTCCAAACTGAATGTGAAAGGTGATATAAGCAATTTTGAGCGTGGCATGGTTGTTGGTGCCAGACGGGCCGGTCTGAGTATTTCACAATCTGCTCAGTTACTGGGATTTTCACGCACAACCATTTCTAGGGTTTACAAAGAATGGTGTTAAAAGGGAAAAACATCCAGTATGTGGCAGTCCTGTGGGCGAAAATGCCTTGATGTTGCTAGAAGTCAGAGGAGAATGGGCCGACTGATTCAAGCTGATAGAAGAGCAACTTTGACTGAAATAACCACTCGTTACAACCGATGTATGCAGCAAAGCATTTGTGAAGCCACAACACGCACAACCTTGAGGCGGATGGGCTACAACAGCAGAAGACCCCACCGGGTACCACTCATCTCAACTACAAATAGGAAAAAGAGGCTACAATTTGCAAGAGCTCACCAAAATTGGACAGTTGAAGACTGGAAAAATGTTGCCTGGTCTGATGAGTCTCGATTTCTGTTGAGACATTCAGATGGTAGAGTCAGAATTTGGCGTAAACAGAATGAGAACATGGATCCATCATGCCTTGTTCCCACTGTGCAGGCTGGTGGTGGTGGTGTAATGGTGTGAGGGATGTTTTCTTGGCACACTTTAGGCCTCTTAGTGCCATTTGGGCATCGTTTAAATGCCACGGCCTACCTGAGCATTGTTTCTGACCATGTCCATCCCTTTATGGCCACCATGTACCCATCCTCTGATGGCTACTTCCAGCAGGATAATGCACCATGTCACAAAGCTCCAATCATTTCAAATTGGTTTCTTGAACATGACACTGAGTTCACTGTACTAAAATGGCCCCCACAGTCACCAGATCTCAACCCAATAGAGCATCTTTGGGATGTGGTGGAACGGGAGCTTTGTGCCCTGGATGTGCATCCCACAAATCTCCATCAACTGCAAGATGCTATCCTATCAATATGGGCCAACATGTCTAAAGAATGCTTTCAGCACCTTGTTGAATCAATGCCACGTAGAATTAAGGCAGTTCTGAAGGCGAAAGGGGGTCAAACACAGTATTAGTATGGTGTTCCTAATAATCCTTTAGGTGAGTGTATATATTTTTAAATCGGGTTGAATGAATGATTCAATGACTCATAAATACTTCAGTTGTTTCATAGTCTCGCTAAGCCAGACCTTTAGACTGACGGCAGAAGGTCTGGACTCTATCGCAGCTTTTCTTGGCCAAGGACCGCGCAAGAGGACGTTTGACTGACATGTAACGCCACCAATCATGTTTAGGGGGCATGACAATATAATGTAGATGTTCCTACAATAACAGGCCGGCGAGCATCTAATAAATTATTCATTCAAGAACGTTGTTCAAGTTTACGGCAATAATGGAGCCGCGAACTTCACATACTTTTGAAATTCCAGCATTTAGTTGATCCTGGTAAGCACTCATTGTCACAGCTGTAAACACAACGGCATTTGTTTCCAGGCGGACTGATAAAGAACGCGACACACACGTCTCCTGGACATCCTGTAGAATTCAACCAATCAGATCGCGACTTCGAAACTCCTGAAGTGAAAAGTGTGCCATATGCATCAGACGTTCAGCCAACGGTCCGTGGCCGTTACGTCTGAGGCTGAGACTACTTGTTTTATTACGGGATGAATCTGAGTTTTTGAACGAATCTCTTAAATGAATGATTCAATGACAAATCAATTTTTTTACACTCACTTGTCGCCACCTAATGGTGTAACGCTGTATTTTATACATTATTTATTTGAAGCATCATGTTACTTTCAAAAGGTGATTTACTCTATCTTGATTGCTTCCGTATGCATCAATGTTTCTATCCGAACTATAAACTTTTATCCCAGTACTTCTGTAATAATTAGAATTTTTGTAAGACAGTAATAATGATACCGTGTGGTTGAAACGGCTGTTTGTGAAACTGTTTCACACCTAAACATAACAACTACTCTCTCTGGTTTAGCGGCAGCGCCAACACACATCTGAATAGCTGTGATCGTACTTGTCAAAGGTTTAATAGACATGGCCGAATCACTGTCATTTTAGGAATAAAATCATGTGGGTGCTTGAATAGAGATTGAGATTTTTTAACGATTAATTGTGCAACTCTATTCGCAAGTCTCTATTATATTCTCATAGCAATATTAGTATGGCGCCCCTCTGTTCAGGATCAATAAAGTTTAATTTATGACTGTACAACAAACGAATTCGACAACTTACATGGGGAACTTGGCGAGTCGAGTAGTAAGCAGTGTTATTTTAATATTGGTCATATAGTTTTTGTTCAGATTTTTTTTATATATATTTTTTTTTTACACTTTTTATATTTCATTTTGTTGTTTGTCATTTTGTTACTTTTATATTTTTTATATTTTATATATTTTTTATTAAGCATTTGTTTTTAGTTTGTACTCCAACCTTAAACTAAACAAATATGAGAAATGTTGCTTTGGGAACTACCTGAAATAAATAAAAAATGTTTTGTTAACAATAATAACCCTGTGTGGATTAATTTGATTTCCTTTTGGGGGCTTTTTGGACCCCACTGAACCAAAATGGTAGACACATTCTTCAAAATATCTTCTTTAATGTTCCACAGAAGTGTTATGAATATGTGAAACAGTATGCGGATAAGTAAATGGCGACAGACATTTCATACTATTTGTTTAAGTATAAATGATAGTGATGTTTGCCTTAGCAAGAATGAGATACTAAATTACTAACATGATTCTCATGAACTCAAATACACTCCGCTCATTAAACACAAAATATCACCTCAGCTTTAATAAGGTTTTAATCAATCACTTCATAGCACTTTGATGACAAATTCCAGAGCTGAAGTTTATAAGAACATGTCAGAAATTAAAAACAGAGCTACCACAGTGTTTCGCACTTTACTGTTTTTCACATTCCAATCCTTTCTACAGTTTTCTGTAGGTAATGAGTATACAACCACAACATGATTTATCACTGTGGTTTGAAAATGCAATAAATCAATAATGCGTCATACACATTACTAAGGGCCACACATTAAATAAACACTGTTTCGGCATGTCAGGCAAGAACTTTGTAGGCTGCAGGAACAACTTTTGCAAACCACTATTTCATATATGATCTCTGATCTGTTCATACTCTAGACGAGAAGAGAACTACTACTTACATTTGAGAGTCTCTCCAGCATATGGAATATGAAGTTTAAATCTGTCACAGCAAGGACCAGGCATTAGTGATGTGCAGCTAAAGGGAAAAGAGAGAAAAGAGAAGAAAAAAACTGTCAATGAGACATCGATAACTTGGCATGATTTTGAGGCACTTCAGAGTGTTCAATATGCCCTCCTGAAGATGTCCATCTTTATTCATTTGTGCATGTGAAGTACATTTACACTACCGGTCAAAAGTTTGGAATAAGTAGGATTTTTAAAAACATTTCTTTTTAAAAAGTCTGCATTTATTTGATCAAAAATACAATACAAACAGTAATATCGTGAAATATTACTGTCATTTAAAATGTTTTTAAACTGTTTTCTACTTTAAAGCAACACTAAGTAAGATTTTTTACCTCAAAATAATGTTTCCAAAATCGTTTCAGTGGTTCATTAAGTCGTAACAGGGTGAAAGGCACTTATGCCTCCGCTTTGCGGTCCTATATTTGCTATAACCACGCTATGTAAGATTACCAGATCGGGTCGCGTTTCTGTAGTTCTAATGAGACATGGACATCGTTCATTTCCAAGTCGGTGCTGGATAAACAGCGAGCGTGTGTGCGACAGTAGGCTACGCTAGGCTAAATTATTTACGACAGCGGTAATGGACAATTCCGCTTCCAAACTGTAGGGGGACCGCAGAGGAAAAGTTACTTGCTGTTGCTTTAATATATTTTAAAATGTAATTTATTCCTGCGATCAAAGCGGAATTTTTAGCATCATTACTTACATTAGTGTCACATGATCCTTCAGAAATCATTCTAATATGCTGATTTGGTGAAACTCAGCCAATCGTGAAACGGCGTTGTCATCATCAGAGCTTGTAAACTTTAATGACACACGTGATCATAACGCGCCAGTGGCACCGAACAAAGCCGGACAAACTTTTCTATCCAGAATGCATTGCGTTTGTCAGGCACTGATCGGCATGCGCCCCTCGGGTTAAGTCAAACTCACCACATGACACAATAAACTACATAACCAATTAAAACAAGTTATGATATACTGTATAGTTAATTTAGTTGTGAATATAGTTAATAATTTAATGTATTTGAATTAAAACTACATGAAAAGGGTCTGCAATAATCGTAAAGGCCCTGAACTGTAAAGCTCAGCGAGGGATCGAAAAACGACTTTGTCAGCAAACATATTGCACTGCAGTTCTTTTTATATAAAGTGTTGATATTATTTTTAATCTAGATATTTGAAGTAGTAGTGTTCTGTGGTAAGCTGAAGCTCCTGATTGAACAATTCTGAAAAGTCCCCTCAGCTTTCTGTAATTCTGATTGAGCAATTGTGATAAGATTTTAATTCAGAAGTAGGCTATTTTAGTTGCATTAGATATTCGTCATATTCATCAACAAATACATTGTTCCCTAAAAGTTATCGCTTTTTGCATAGTTCCCCAGAACACTCACCCAGTCTTGAGGTCAGTGATCCGGAGACAGCCAGAGGAGTCTAACCCGACCCGTCCGTTGCGCACCACAGTGCAGAGTAACGGCCGGAGCTCCGGAGAGATCCGGCTCAGTGCCACTTCTGGAGACAGACTGTTCATCTTCCACACAAAAGATCAGACAACATGACAATACAGACATTTAGATGTTCATTCATCATTAATGTGTTTTCCATGAGTTGTAAGATAAATAGCGCCATAGTCTAACCTCTGGCCCTCGAGATCCACTGTCCTGCAGAGTTTAGCTCCAACTCTGATCAAACTCACCTGAACAAGATCATCAAGGTGTTCAGGATTACTAGAGAGCTACAGATAGCTGAGTTTGATCAGGGATGGAGAGGGATCTTGAGGGCCAGAGTTGCCCAGCCCTGGTCTATTCTGTCCCGTCACAGCTTCATAAGACAAAAATAATTTCTTCTCCTCTCATTATAACATAAAAGACCTCTAATGTTGCGTTTTGTGCCATTGCTTCGGAAAAGCATGTGTCAAACTTACATCGAAATCGCATTACTATATATATTACTGTCTTGGTTCACACCAAGGACAATAACTATAATGATAATAACAATAAAGATATAATTCTAAAAATCGTTCTAAATATAAAAGAATTCACTCATATAAAAGTTAAAGGTAATAAAATAAAATAAAAGTTCACTCATACCACAATAAAAGTTCACTCATACCACAACTAGGGTAAACGTACCTATTAAGCTCACCAAAATCTACATTGAGACATTTTTAGTGCACAAGATATTGATTTTCGTTATTTTAGAATAAAATATGAATCTCTCGCACTATAATATTTCATTTTATTTTAAATGACAAAAGTATTTAAATTAAGATGTACATCATTGAATATAAAAAGTCTGGCTGTGCTTAATAACAATAGCGGCACTGAGAAACGATTTCGTTGGAATCACTTTCAGAACGATTTTTTCCAGCTGTTGAACGATAAAAACATTGACAGCCAATCAGAATTCATTCATTCAGAGCTTGAGCATTTAAAGCGGCAGACGACAAAACCAAAGCACGCACTTCAAATAAACAGACCAACAATACTGTGAGTTGGTGTGGACATTAATAGTTTTCTTTATAGTTATCGTTCTTTGTGTGAACAGACCTTTAGGGATATTAATATTACTATTATTTTTATTATTATATTTTAATTGGTTGGCTTCCTAAAAACACCAGTGTGAATGCAATGTAGACTCAGACTATAACAACTCAAACCTACAACTAGGTTTGAGTCAACTTTAAAATTCAGATACAAGACAATTGACAGTAGCCAATGACTTCCATAGTAGAAAAAAAAAATACTATTGAAGTCAGTGGTTACCATCCACTGTTTGGTTACCAACATTCTTTAAAATATATATTTTTTGTAAATGTGTTCAGCAGAAGAAATTCATACAGGTTTGGAACAACTTGAGGGTGAGTTAATGATGGCAGAATTTTCATTTTTGGGTGAACTATCCCTTTAAATAAGAGATATAATAACAGAAGGCTGTATTGTCCTTGTTGACACTAATTAATGAGTGGATTCCCCCAGTATAGAATAAATAAATCTTGTTTAGACAGGAAACGTGAATAAAACAATTAAAAAGTCGTGGCGTGATACTCAGCTGTCTAAAACACATTATTATCTTGGAGCATATTAATAACACTGATGATATACTGTCGAGCAGCAGTAATGACACACAAAACATCAACACTACCACAACACATGTGCATGAGTGAATCGAAGAATTTGTGTTTGTTGTGTAGTGCTAGTTTGATTTGATTTTGTTTATTCAGTTTGTTTTAGAGCTGCAAATATATGCTAACAGACTGGCTAGCATGCTAATCCTGCACTATGAACGAGTTTCTTTATGCTAATTATGTTTCCTTCTTTATCAAAGCAGTCGTTTCGATCAAGTACATTTTCGTAAGTAACAAATGCCTTTTCAGTACCTTTTATATGTAATGTAGAACAACTTTCGAGTATGAAATCATTCCTCACTTCCGCTGTTGTTATTGAGACTTGTTTATGGATGTTTATCAATATGCCTGATAGTTTTACCACGGCTTTACTGAATGACTTACGTGAATAATGCGTGCATGTGTTCAATAGTATACTTTATTAAACATATATACATTTTATGTATGCTTACAATGTTAAATCTCGTTTGAAAGCATAAATCCTTAATTTTAAAGACAGGCGAATACAGTGACAGCTCAAAATGGGCTTGTGTCTCGTCACATGTGTTTCTGTGCTGTCAGATAGACGTGAGTACAAAGTGCTGCTTTGGCAGGTTAGATATCGCGTTATTCAGTGGACAAATAGGTAAAAATGTTCAATATTATTATATACCAAATGATTTTAAATGCTAATTCATTATACACTTGAAATTATCTAATGTGATAATGCATGGATTCCTGTGAATGAGATGATTAATCAAGTATCAGAATCAGATTGAGCTTTATTGCCAAGTATGTTTAAGTTACACACACACGGAATTAGTGACAGGAGCTTCCAGTGCAGATGTACAGATATGAAATATAACAATAATATAAGAAACACAAATTTAAATAATGCAATATAATATAGTATTAGAAATATAGAGGGAATATATATAATTGTTTTAGTACGTATTTCATATACACTAAATAACATGCACTCAGAAATTGCTTGTAAATTTCATAAACAATTACAAAGAAACAGCATAAAACACATTTAATTAATCGAGAAATTTTGAAGTAGAAAACTGAAATATTTTTATTTCATTATAATAGATTTATTTACAGCTTTAGACATATTTTTTTCCAGTGTAGATATTGCCCAGCTAAACCAGCCTAGATAAACAGTTTTGTAAAAATCCTCACACATTTTCACGCAATGTCTCTGATTGTAAATAAAATACACTTCTTAACTCCTTCAACAAGATTTTATCAACCTAACTAGATATTGTTATTCCCAACACTGCACATTGTGTTTCTGCAGGAACTAATGACTTTATTTAGTCAGATTGTCAAATTACTCTGACTGAATAATTTGTTGCATCTTATTTTCATGATAATATTTCTCCTTAGACATCCATGAAATAATAAAGCCATACATATTGTACATGATTAAATTATTTTTATCACATGCGATTCTCTTTGTTGTTTTATCGTGCAGAGAGGATCATATCTAAGTCTCAGGCCCAAACAGCAAAACACTTGAAGCTATTCAAACCATAAAGACTGATTTGAATCTAAATATGCAGAAAATGCATCCTGGACTTCAGTTATTTTGAGGAAGTGTAGGCTGTTCCTTAGCCAGCGGCAGGCTTTTGCAGTCCCCTGAGGCATGCTGGGAGATTTGAGCAGATTAACACTCCACTATTCACATACGGTGCCTACACGCGAGGGATTGAATTAATGAAGGATTTCCATGGTTGTTGTCAATCACATGATCCAGTCCTGAAATAATCATCCACATTAGAGTAGACAAGTTTAATGTGGAGCATAACTACCAATGTTTAAGCATTTAATTGTTGCTCTCTGAAATTTCATGTCAAGATTTCATTTGAAATGTATGTAAATAATGTCAAATAATCTGATGTCGTAGTTTTTTAATATTCAGTCTAAATGTTGTTGTGTTAATGTCACCAGGTCATGCCTGCAGACGTGAGTGTTGTAGTGGTGGGATCTTGTATGACTGACTTAGTAAGGTAAGTCATCGAAGGATTCAGTGTCATAGTGAACCAGGCCCGGGGCAAATATGTGGCACATGTTTAAAATACGGGGACAAAAATGCCTTTGTAATGCATTCCTCTGGTCTGATGAACAAAAAAGGGAAAAAAGCAGTGATTGCAGCTAAATCTACAGTGACAATGTACGATAGAGATCAGTACCTGACCCATGCATTCTAGAAGAGCATTTGTTGCTATATGAAATTTTGCATTATATACAAATACATTTGAGTAGGCATTATATGCAACAACCATTTTTTTTTTTTTTTTATAATATGATAGTTTAACATGTCACATTGCTTTTTTTTTTACTGTACAAGTAGAAAAAAAAACATGTCTTCATAAAATACAAATCATTTCCATGTGCCCAACCACTGTCCTCATGCTCAATTTCATGCTTAACTTGAAATATACATTCAACAAATCTACTCTCGGTTATGAACTTAAAGCTGAGACCTCACATATCATACTAAACACTGATTTCATGCTCATGTGACACACTCTCACACTCATCGTCGCTATTCTTGTGGAACATATTCCACTTGCAGAAGGCAGACTTTAAGATTTTAAAATAACTCTGAAAGGAATTAGTCCTTCCAGCAGGAACCAAATAAGGTCCAACAAAGGCAGATTTGGGGAACTGCCTTCTGTTCTGCCAGCTCTGTCTATTATTAATATTTCCACAGGGAACTGATTCACTGCTCACTGGTCATATTTGCCGCCGGCAGTTTTTTTTTTTTGGTCCTAGTCATACTGACTGCAGTGTTTTCAGCACAGGTGCACCGTCTGACTGGAATACGGCGTACACTTGCAGCTGTGCAAACTAGTAAACTTTCACCTTGCATACACCCTGAGGTTTTATTTTTACAGTGTAATTTATTACTTTGATGTCAAAGCTGAATTTTCAGCATCATTACTCCAGTCTTCAGTGTCACATTTCAGAAGTCATTTTAATATGCTGATTTGGGGTTCATGTAACATTTCTGATTATTATCAATGATGAAAACAGTATTTTGTGGAAGCCATGATACGTGTGTTTTCAGGATTTAAATGAGTTCAAATTTTGATTGAAATATTTTTGGTAACAAATGTTTTGATCAATTTAATGTTTTCTTTCTGCATTCAAGTAATGATTTTCAACAAAAATACATCAAATGTGAAGTGTCACGCAGGGTTGAGTTGTTCTTTTTCACTTTCAAAAACTGTACATCTATCACAGTTATTTACCGTATATGCAGGACAAGGTATGCCAAATTTGAATAATTCAGGTTAGGTGTTTGTTTAGAAGAGGAAATGTTTCTCAAAGAGCTGGGTTATCCAGAGACAGCATTTTCCTTTCCATACATAACTAAATCATATTCATTTCTTTCTTTGTCATACCCTAAGTAATCAAAACAAACTACCCCTTATGGGGAAAAAAAAAAATTCCAATTGCTCATATACGTTACCAATGAAAACATCCAGTCATCAGTGTTGGCCTTTGAACAGAAGAGATTGCATCAATTAGGCAATAGTTCTGATGGGAAGTGTGTGTTTGTGTTTTTGGATGTTGGCTGACACATTTCACCCATCAAAGTGCTATGCATGGCTTTGAAGTGTAAAATCCAGTTTTCGATGTGGCCTGTGTTTGTGACAGTCAAACGGAGTCAGTGTCTCGTGCGGAACATTAGTGTGTGTGTGTGTGTGTGTGTGCTGAAGACAGACAGTGCCACCTGCTGATTACTATTCAAACCTATTGGTGTGCCTTCACTGGAGCCGTCAGTGTCTTACACTCGCTGTGTGATGTTAGTCGAGAGCGTGCATGTGCCACACACAAGTCTTGCATACTTATACTTGCTTATACTCATGAAATAATTAACTTCAGGAACTTTATCTTTGGTTCAAACTGGGCCTTTTTTGTAATTGAGACATTACTGATAATACTGTTATTTTGATAAATATCAGCAGTAAATTATGAACATATTGATGCACCATGGTAATTACATGGTACTTACTCAAAAAGTAAGTACTTTTCTTTTGATAGTGTTGTTTTTATCTCTCTCTTTTTGCATGTATAAAGTATATTTAATTACAGGTGAAAAACATTTTAACTGATAGATATCACCATACCATCACAGCACATCAATACAAGTTTTCTGAAATGCTGTGTTTAAATATGCAAACGAGCCATTTACTAATTAAATATACACTAATAATTTGCATAAACGTCCAGCACAGAAATCTAAACACTGGATAAAGTTAATCAAAATTAATTTCATTTTGTTGACATGAGAGTTAAAGGTATTTACAGAGGATATACTGTATATATACACTCACCGGCCACTTTATTAGGTACACCTGTCCAACTGCTCGTTAACACTTAATTTCTAAGCAGCCAATCACATGGCGGCAACTCAGTGCATTTAGGCATGTAGACATGGTCAAGACAATCTCCTGCAGTTCAAACCAAGCATCAGTATGGGGAAGAAAGGTGATTTGAGTGACTTTGAACGTGGCATGATTGTTGGTGCCAGAAGGGCTGGTCTGAGTATTTCAGAAACTGCTAATCTACTGGGATTTTCACGCACAACCATCTCTAGGGTTTACAGAGAATGGTCCGAAAAAGAAAAAACATCCAGTGAGCGGCAGTTCTGTGGGCGGAAATGCCTTGTTGATGCCAGAGGTCAGAGGAGAATGGCCAGACTGGTTCGAGCTGATAGAAGGGCAACAGTGACTGAAATAACCACTCGTTACAACCGAGGTATGCAGCAAAGCATTTGTGAAGCCACAACACGCACAACCTTGAGGCGGATGGGCTACAACAGCAGAAGACTCCACCGGGTACCACTCATCTCCACTACAAATAGGAAAAAGAGGCTACAATTTGCAAGAGCTCACCAAAATTGAACAGTTGAAGACTGGAAAAATGTTGCCTGGTCTGATGAGTCTCGATTTCTGTTGAGACATTCAGGTGTTAGAGTCAGAATTTGGCGTAAACAGAATGAGAACATGGAACCATCATGCCTTGTTACCACTGTGCAGGCTGGTGGTGGTGGTGTAATGGTGTGGGGGATGTTTTCCTGGCACACTTTAGGCCCCTTAGTGCCAATTGGGCATCGTTTAAATGCCACGGCCTACCTGAGCATTGTTTCTGACCATGTCCATCCCTTTATGGCCACCATGTACCCATCCTCTGATGGCTACTTCCACCATGTCACAAAGCTCTAATCATTTCAAATTGGTTTCTTGAACATGACAATGAGTTCACTGTACTAAAATGGCCTCCACAGTCACCAGATCTCAACCCAATAGAGCATCTTTGGGATGTGGTGGAACGGGAGATTCGCATCATGGATGT